CCGCGGTCCGTCGCGTACAAGCTATCGCTACTACTCCCTACCAGCCACCCCTACTGCCCGACTGGCCTCCCAACGCCAACACGTGCTGTCAACCCTGGGCTCCTTGCATTCGCGCTTCGACTACACCCTCATCCCTTTAACAATACACGCGATTAAAAATCTCCACCATCCTTACAACTGCTCGCTAACACGCAGGTCCATCCGTGACGCGTCAACTTCTCATTAACAGCGTTCCGCTACCATCCGCACTGACTCTTCTATCTCTTAAGGAAAAGGTCAGTCCTCATATTCTCAGTGTACCGTCAAGTTCTAGGTTTAGAACCAACCGCTTGTATCATTCTCAGCCTCGGCATTAGTCGCGGTCATACAAGCATTGGTTGTGAAGAGGAGTGGCTACATAGATGCCATGCGCGTCTCCGCACCCGGGATCCCTTGCTCATTCCTGAGCAAGATTGACGGTGTCGATCAAATGCGAATAATGTTCTTCGGACTCAGTCTTTTCATGCACCTATCATCTTCGGGATGAGATTCCTTAAACATGGCGGCTGTGAGCCTAAATTGACTTGCTCCTCCTGCGTGCCCTGGTGGTTGCTGATAAGCCCGTGTTGTTCTAGGATCTATCTGGATTCGGCGTGGCGACATCTTTTTCGCACGTCAGCTCCACTGCCCATTCATCCGTCGTGGGGTAACGGGAGATCAAACCTTGATCCCAAAGAAACGCAATTCGAAGCAACAGCGCAGTGTCCGACGTAAAGCGGGAAAAGAGAAAATAACATAGACCTTGTTGAACGAGCTGGACCTTCGTCCGAAAAATACAGGGTGCTTTTACTCCGATCGCTCTCTCCCGCCTGCCCGTCCGTTGTCCCCCACACCATAGTCCTGTTGAATCCTATCACGTCTTCGCGCCGGCGTTCATCAAACGACTGGTCTGCCACGACTCTCTATGATCCTGTTGCTGCCGTCGCCAACTCCGCACTACACGCGTTAATTAAAGTTTTCGTACTGGCGAAGACGCGTAAAAACAAGTACCTTCAGTTAATCTGTCAGTATTGAACCCAAGCCACCAAATGTGCCTGAAATTCAGACTGATCGTCATGCTGAGTTAGGTCTTACCCAAGCGATTATCCGCCTAATAAACAACTGGAAATTGACTCCAACTCCCGACCAGTACACTCATCGTGCTAGTCCTAGCCTCGTCACATCTATTCTTTCATCTTGTATTCATTCGTACGTCAGAATTTCCATTTTTCACACTGTGTCTCCTCCCCAACGCATAAAGCACCTACAGGGGTCTACAGGTGGCCCCCGGTAGGCTGCATCGCCAGCACAGCCCCCATGCGAAACTACTCAAACAAGTACATTTCATTTGAGTCAAAGATGTCGGAGTCCGCACATTGCAGTTTCCAACGCCTGTCTATCGTCATTAAACTCTGTAAATGCGAGATTTGACCACCCTGTCACATATACAAGTAACGGACTCCCTCTACCTCCCTTGTTACCAAACCACAACGGGCCCTTCCATCTTTTTTTCCACATCAATCAGGCTAAGCCTTGCTCAAGGTGAGCATCTTTGTGGCGTCAAATTAATCTAAAGTTCACGTGCTTCACGTATGTCAAACTCCCAACAACGTCCATACCGAGCACGCGCTATGCTTGTTTACCTACCTAATACACACATTATTTTCAGTACGACGCATGGCTAGGTACTGACTCATGGAAAATAGATCAGCAAATAGTGGAATATCTTTCTTAGGCCAGGCTCTTTCAAAACGGAACCCTTTCGATTAACTGTGTAAGACCAATTTTTAAATTAAAATTTATGAAGACTCAGAAAAACATTCAAAAAAGCTCCATTTTTCTATCCGTCAAGTTTTTCCTAGAGCAGTAAACATGTAGGACCGTGTTGTCCTCGAGGCGCATTCGGCTGGCTTGCATGTCAAGCGATTACAAGCAGAATCCGGGCAATCATTCTATGAGATGTTTCCATTCCTTGAATACCAAATCATCTGTGTCTGATATGAATGCGAACATTACCTTTATTGTTATCAATTGCATTTTTAGCCATGAGCTTTGTTACATACGAGCCTAGTATTACGTTGATAACGTGGAAAGTTCCAATTGCCAATTGACGTGCAGCTTGTGTCCATGACTCAAGCACCGTCGAAATGATGGTCTGTCTCAACTGCTATGCATAGATCAAATTATCAACAAAACAAGCATTCCAGCATCCCCACTTGCTCCGAGACGATGTCAAACTCATACCTAAGTTCGAGGCGTTACTACGCGCTCCCCCAGCTATGTACTACTGCCTCTGCTTGTCGGTAAATCCGTCTTCATCAGTCACAAGCAATGATACCAACTTTCTGTTGTGCCACTGTCTGACGCGATTAACTGCTGAAAAAGCTTTCGTATCAAAGTTGGAAATTTTCCCGAATGATAGTTTAGAGGCGTCTCAAAGCAGAGACTCATTCGACAAAACCCCTCAAATCTCTGCGTTCAACAAGGCTGGTCCTTTCTCAATTGACTGCTTCAATATGAAAATTCATGCTAACCGTTAAGTCGACACAGGCAAGATACTTGCGAGAGGAGTTACGTCATCAGACACTTTCACCATGTCTCATCGGCAGAGTAATGTTTACAAGGACGAGCATGCTGATCACGTAAGTTGAATAAGCAAGCTTCTTCGGTCTCCTGCTCTTCAATACCATCATCGCATGTTGGCTTACGTTGCAAACTTTTCTACGGAATTAACCAAATGTTGTGGATCAAATTATTACATTTACCCTTGGCATAATATATTCTTGGACCAGAACGATTGACGGGATTAGTCTCCCTGCTTCGCTGGCAAAACTTCTCCCTTGCAACGTGCATGGGTAGCTGTAGTCCAGTTACACCCGCGCGCCTGCAATCATAATGAGGCTACGAGTGTGGATCTCAGTCTCGGAAGGACGAATCAACCGAGATTTTGACTAGGAACTAGACAAGGATATAGGCTACTATGACTCCTACCTCCATACGTTCGTGACCCATAGTTGGGCTGGGACGTTTGTGGTGCATGTCCAGCCGCCGGATGATTTTTGCACCCCCGACCAATGTCCATGCACTGTTATCTGCTACCATTGATTCGTTGATTCAGACTGAGAAAGGATCTCGGGTCCTTACCAAATCAGTGTCAGCCTTCTTCTGCACACTCAGCAATGTAATGCGACGTTGAAAAGCCATCGGAACATTTGACACGTTTCCGGCAAAAGGTTGCAACACGCCCCCTTAGAATTATTCAATTCATGCGCTCGGTATGATCAAGTAGTTTTTGGTTTCATTCCTCCGTTAATTCGAATCAATTGCTTTTCAGACGGTACCGTGTCAAGTGACCACAGGACCTTCGCTCGCTTCGTCTTGAATTTTAGTAAAATTCTCTAGTGAGCTGTCGAACGAGCAGATGAGTACACAATTTATTTTTGATAAATCTCGGATTCCATTGGAACCTTACAAATTGAAATACGGAAAGGCCATCACAATGACGATCATTCGCATCACATAGATACCGCTTAAGGTACTGCTAAAAGAATGAGCCATAACCATCCGTCGCACTTGGGTTGCAATTTCTCCCAGTTCGTAGGTGGCTAGTCCAATCGCGACGATAGTTCCGTCGGATTTGACATCATTTGCTGCGGCTAGTGCAGATACGGCAATTTCTAAATTTGTCTCCGGAAGTCTAGCTCCAAAATGACGCTATGACTAGAGCAAAACTGTTAGTTCATTAGCTCCACTTCCATCCCTTGTCCAATACATGGAAGATCCATGTCGCAGATGCCCACTTGGGCAATATCCTCGGCATAGGAGCCAGTAGCCTTTCTTAATTCCACTTCACCGCCGTCCGTGATCTTATCACGACAGCCGAGAGGATCTCCAGTATAGGCAAGGCCCGGGCCAATCCTTCGGTTCTGCCAAAGTTTTGACCGGTTGGGTAAAATCCTATTGGTTTATGTCGTGTCTGGTGCTACAAGGGGTCGTATGTTTGACCGCTGGATGTCACACGTCGTCAAGGCTGGACCATACCCTGCACGGGGTTTATCCATTGTCATGTAACACTCCTGACCGTCCTCGTGTGTTATTGTCGTTGACCTGTTCCACTGGTCCCCTATCCGCCTCGGCCTCTTGTTCATTTTCTTTCGTTTTTCTGTTGTCTGGCCACTAGGCGCGACCGGACATCTTAGCTGCCCCCTCAGTCTGGCGCAGCATGCATCCTTTCAATTCCAGCTGTTCACTCATCCCATTCCCCGAGACCAAGACTGTTCTGGCCTACACAATTTTGATTAGCCGCCAAATATAGTTAGTCTCATCCCTGGTACGAGTCATGCCCGTTGATGAAGTTCGCTTTAACTTGAGTACTTGGCGACCCCTCAAGCATCAGTCCTGTCCACACAGCCCCCCTACCCCGTCAGAGGTAAACCCTATCGACAATCCTTCCACACTCTTTTTCGCCGCTCGTCCAACTTGTCTAGCCTTCATACAATTTCAAAAACTTTCCTTCTACCACGTCGATCTCCACTCCTGAGCAAGGTTCAGCGGAAATCACTCAAATCTCGGATATTGACCGTAGTCACTCACACAGTGTCTTGCGGCTAGTGATCCGTGGACCTAGAAGTCTTTGCAATCCAGCAAGGCTCCTGTTAAACAGAGGTACACCCTCGCACTTCTCCCATGTCCTAGTTGTTACCCTCCTCCCTTACAACACACTTGCAATTAATTCTCCTTCTCCATCTTTCTCCAAGCGCGACGGGTCAGCAAGCAGAAGTAGATCAGTCCCGGGTACTACCACACTGCCTACATCTCTGCCGACCCTTGAGCCTCGACGGTTCACACATTACTATCGAACTCTCTAGTTTCAGCGTCAACGCCGTTCACGCGTCTCTGACCTCGTTTCAATGGTTATTATCTTTTTATCCTCGCATCTTCTATCACCGCTCCACCCCAAGCACAATCACTGACAGAACCGTATGCAGCATCACCCCCACCATCCTCCGCAGCAGGGTCCACCACCACACCATCTTCAGCAACCACGGCCGTCGAGCATTGTACACCAACAACATCACCAGCAGCAAGCTCCCCCGACACAGCCTCAACACAGCAACCCTTACCCATCACATAGCGGTCTTCCCCAATACACGCAAGGGACATCGGCCCCAAGTGGACAGCTCAACCAGGACGCGCCTTACTATCAAAGCCATCCAAGTCCTTACAGCACACCCGCTTCGGGTACGTACTCCTCGACCGGTTAGTCGCCAATCCGAAATTAAAATTTCAAATTGAATCTCAGAAAAATTAATAAATTTGCTAACACTTCATGCTAGAAACTCCAGAGATCATGGCTGCCGCTCAGATGGGCAGTCGTCCCTATCCTCCAATTTCATACCACACTCCCCAATCAAATTCACCAGCATCTGTTGCCTCTTCGTCGGGACATGACCAGCATCGCATGTACGGTGCACCACCGTCACAACTCCAGCAAAATGCTCAAATGTACTATGCTCCACCTCCTCAGCAATATCCGCCAATGCCGCCTCAAGGGCCACAGTCTTATGCTCCGCATCCACAGCAGCACCATCAATCAATGACTTCCCAACCGAATTTATTATTGACACACGCCCCTCCACAGCATCAAATGCAACAACACCCTAATCAACACTCTCAACAGGGCATGACCGGAAGCCCGCGACCGAAGATTGAGCCACACGTCCCGCAAATAACCAGAACAGCACCACCACAACAGCAGCCGCCGCAATCACAACAATCCACACCTCAATCACACCCTAACAGCACCGCTCCCATGAACCAAAACAATGCTCAGAATGGCCCTGGAGGACCGGGTGTAAATCCTAATGCTGCTCCAGGACCAATTCCAGCTACTACCCCACTTGTTGTCAGACAGGATAATAACGGGGTGCAGTGGATCGCGTTCGAATATTCCAGAGATCGCGTCAAAATGGAGTATACTATTCGGTGTGACGTAGAGTCTATCAATGTGGAAACCCTAACACCCGAATTCAAAACTGAGAACTGTGTTTATCCCCGCGCCTGTTGCAGTAAAGATCAGTATCGAGGAAATAGACTCGTCTATGAGACTGAATGCAACACCGTCGGATGGGCATTGGCAGAATTAAATCCATGTCTACGTGGTAAGCGCGGGTTAATCCAGCGGGCAGTTGATAGCTGGCGGAATAGCAACCAAGACCCAAGGCTGCGAAGTCGTCGCGTTCGGAGGATGGCCAAGATAAGCAATCGCAAGGCAGTTCAATCCACAACACACCCTCCACCGATGGCAGGGCCAAGCGGGCCAACAGGGATTCCGCCAACGGGTAACATGGGTCCTGGAGGAGCGGGAAGCATGGGGAAGCCGACCCTGGGTGGTATGGGTGGACCCCAGCTACACCATCACCACAACCACCCTGATGGTGGTGCGCCAGGAGGGGAAGATGTCGGTATGTTTCACCAAATGTGATGAAGTCGCATTTCGTGCCGTGATATTCTTTATATTGTATGCTGTTACTACTGTCAATGTTGCGAAAACGCTTGCGAATACCTGTTGGGCGGGAGGATATCTCACTTTTCTTCCGGAATGAGAAATTTTGTTGTATGTTCAGAAGAGCAGTTCTTTTCCTGTATAATACTTCTAGGAGCACAGTGTTGCTTACCGGCTTGAACCGGGCAAGGCTGGGAGCCGCATCCTATACGTTACACCCTACATCTGATGTCTTTCACCAGTGTACATTTTAGCAACCATCATCCACGCACTGACGCTTATCCCCTGTTACTTTCGTCTGTTACACTTACAGACTTAAGTCTCTGGTATCGTATAGAGGAAGCAAGCTAACACGATCTTCGTGCCTTTGACAGGTGAAAATGAATATCTCGAACACAACCAAGGGCAGCAACAATCTCGGCTCCATCAAGCCGCAGAACAAGATGACGCACGTCAGGCACACGTCTTTTCTGAGTACAATAATAGTCCATATCCATCTAATCCTTCCGTAGGAGGTCCCTCGATGACGCCTCACCTAAACCCACACCCCATCCATTCAACGCCAAGTCATGCCTCTATGCAGTCCAGGATTGCCGAAGAACTGAATGAAGAAGAACGCTTGAAACTTTTTGGTGATATACCTGAATCCAAGAAGCGTAAATTTATCCTTGTCGACGATCCGGGAAAAGGTGGACGTGTTCGGGTACGGGTAACACTTGACACGGTTGATATCAAGGAAATTCCCGATTCATTTCGGAAAAGTAATTCAGTTTATCCTCGCAGCTGGTTTCCTTTGCAGATGCAGAGCCCGCCCCCGTCGGCTCATGGCAGTCGTTTTTTCGAGCATGACGAAGATGATTTGGTGGAAGTTGAAGGACGAGGCATGCGACATGGCCGTACCAAGATGAGGGTCAGCGTACCTCTAGGGGACGGCGGCGAAGCGGAGATAGGTGTTCCTCGGATGCGTAAAAGCATGCGGCGCAAGGAAGTTCGTCTCAATGATCTTGGGTACCGAATGACTTGGCATCAAAGCCGAGTGTTTGCTGATAAAACGGTGTTTTTACAGAAAGCCCGTAAGCCATCACGGCGCTCCTCTTTTCAACTGCGCTAATTCGCACTCTAGTTGACTCTTATCGCAATAAAGTTCGCACTACCATGGAGAGCATCGGAAAGGATGTTCCCTCCATAGCTCCACATTTTGAGACTCGCGTGGGAAAAAGGCGGTGGAATGAACGTAATAAGCGTGAGAGAAGAACCCCAGTAGACGGGTAAAACTGTCTTAGTTGTACTGTGCTGGTTCCTTCTGATCTTAGTCCATTTGGGGTATATTTTGGGTTAGTAAGCCCTAGCGCTTTTCATGTTGTGTGGCTTGGGTTGGAGTCGGTTTGGTTTGGCGATGCATCGAGTTAAGGAGTATTAATGACAGGAAACTGGGTTTTAAATTAATGTAGGTCAGAGAGGTGTGCCCCGAATTGGGGGGATTTCGGGAAAGGAATAAGCGTCTAAAAGTTTTGGGCTTATTAGTCGTAGCTGCTAGGGCTCCGTGAGTGCTATGTCCCCCGCCCCTCGGAGGAATCTAGAATGTCCACCTGATAAGCGGTTGTTATTAATGTTCCAGCCGCGACGTGCCTCGACCTTTTAGATGGCTTCTCCATTCCCGGATATCCAATTTCACCGGTTGGCGTCACAAACAATTGTAGCTTACATGCTTTGGTATTGCCCGGCATTCCCCTAACAACGTTCCGGCCTAGAAATCAAAATTAGGGGCATGGCAAAACGAGTCGAAGGGTGAACTGTGGATCATAGATGACTCGCTTCGGCGTACACGCCCCAGTGATGGGGCGGCCCGTCGCCTCTGCCCCCACGCAAGTGGTGAAGACCCCTGATCTTTCTTCACTAGCCATGAACGTGCGCGAATCGGGAAGTTCCTTATTTAAACGAAGCTTTTGCAGTGAAACAACTTCGTTCATGTTGAACTTTGCGCTTTCCTCACGCTCACACTGTTAAATTCTCCTCATCTCTCATGTTCTTCTCCGTGAATTGTACTTTTGCACCCGTGAAGAGTGAGTGGAGTCCTATAACTTCCCTCAAAACCGGGAGCGCGGATTTTTTGGGCAATGCGCGCCGATAATGAGGCCTGTTGGGGGTCAACTTCAGGAAAAGGGAATATCCCGGTCCGCGTGGCTTCATGAGGCCTGATAAGAATCAGAGCTGACGGGAGAGGAGAAAGAATGATAAGCTGTCCGTGATGTCCCGTATGGACCTGGAAGTGAGCTACTCTCTCAGATCCAAGTTCATTTAAACTTCACAAAACCGAAGAAGTTGGCCGATAAGGAAATTATCAAGACTTCATACCAAATCAAATTTCCATTACAGTAACAATCGTTTCCTACCAAAGCATCAAGTTGATTCGAATGAGCTAGTACATCCTTACTTCAATGACCACACCTCTCGTCCAATCATTCTCTAGCCTCAAATTGGCCTCGATACACACGGCCTCAAGAATACGAACTCCCACCGGAGACTGAGGATCTGGAAGGTATATCCTTGTGGTGGACGAGAGAGATCATGACAAGCGGAAAAGATGGTATAAACGGTGGACATGGTCTCGAAAAGGGTGAGATTTTAAACTTTGGCCAAGGGTTTTAACAATCGATGAACTGTAAGCGCATCAAGCCTTTGATTGCGAGAGAACTAATGACACTTTAAAGACCATCCTGGTTGGATGGTGCAGTGATAAATCATTTGTGCTGGTCTCTAAAACAGCTTCTGGATAGCTCGGACACATAATCCACTTGAGACAGCGGTCGCTGGTTCGAATCCAGCACGAAACAACTACATTGTTCGCAGTGCTGATGTACATGAACAATGACAGGTTTTGAAACTTTCCATTGGTACCCACTGAGGAGGGTCGCCTGTTTATGTTATCAGACAGAGCTGATAGTGGTACTTACATTTGAAATTTGGAGTATGAATGACTTTCATGTCAATAGAGTCATCCTCCAAGTATGCAAGACATTGACCATAGTCATAGCTGGATAGCAGCACCCACTGAAACGATACAGAAAGAGGAAAGCAGAATTGATGGGCACGCTCGAGCCGTTGCTATCAAGGCTTGTCTCGTCTACTGTAGCTCACCTGACTACTGTCTGACTTATCGCAAAGGATTAACCCCAAAGTTTCGCTAAAAATGAAGCCGAAAAATGTGTATTCTTAGGATTCCGGCTCGAGTCTAGGGGGTGATGTCGATTTCAAGTTTGGAACTGATGAAATCTAGCATGGTGCCCGTGACATACCACGTGACATCGGGTGCGTCGTGCGTCTTGAATACCAATATCACTAGGCCCTTATTATGCATGCATATCTGTTTGTAAAGGTCTTTTGTGTTCTTGTCAAGGCAAACTATTCCATCTACTCGTGTAAACTAAGCTAGTCAGATCACATGACCTGGCTATCAGTGCATAAACTTCATCTGTAGTAGTAGGGCTCTCTAGTCAACATTTACAACTCAATACCGTGCCCCACCTTTCTTTTTTAAGAGATCTGTATGGTGTATATTCTGTATGTCTCAAGCTACTACTCTACAGAGGTGGTGTGCGCGATAGTTATTCCGAACCTTACACGGAGGGACTATGATCCGAATCTTCTGGATCCACAGCGTGACAATTAGCCTAATCCCTATGGGTATGGGATGTTCGGATTACAGTACACCCGTGCAAGGCTCGGAATGCACCCTACACAGCGTAGGCCAAATGATAGAGTCAGGATCAGGTCCCATGCCCGGAGCAGGTCGAGGAAGCTGTGGAATCCTGGCAGCTACGAAGTAGACCAAGACGGTACGAATAGTTAGACCTTCTAATGGGACGAAAACTACCACCCGAGCTTGGGCTGCCGAGATGGGTGTACCATCGTCTGTTAGCAGCGAGATCAGGACGCGGGGACTTTAAGGGCTACCACGACAGATTCGGGCATGAAAATGTAGACTGCAGATGCGTCTGTAGAAGGGAAAGACGTCCTTGGCACTTTGTAGAGTGCCGAACGGCTTTGCGACAATGGAGAATATCCAGACATGAACCACCACCAAGAAGTCGAGTTATGTTGACAGAAAACGGATGGGAGGAATTCCAAAAGTACATAACCGTAACGAGAAGCTACGCGGGGCAATTTTCACATTGAGAGGGCTAAACCTTTCCGAGGGACTGGAATATCTTTAGCAGTTGAATATGAAAGTGGGAAAGGCGCAGGGCGTTTTTTGTCTAGGCAATTTTCTTTATTTCTTCTTTTTATGTAATCAATCGGCCTAGAAAGCTGGATAGATAGGTAGTAGTGAGGCTTTAGGGATCACACACACCCGTATCATGCCTCTTGGGTGTAGGGCTTTTGCCTGATACGAAATTTTTACATACAAGGTTTGGAACAAATGTTACAACTATCACCCCTGTGCAGTATTTCAAATCCTGATATATAGTAGCTTTACAGTAAGAGAGGATATACCACACATATCACAGTAAATTTTTACATACAGATATTTACGAACAGTAAGGGTCTACTGATATCGGTATCCAAGACTCACATCACCATCAAAATACCTGAGCCGCCTGTCACGTGACCGAAGTCATGAGCTCTGCACTGGCACGACGGCAAATTTAATCAAAATCAAACTCGAAATAGCTGGCAATGACGGCTCTTCACCTTTCAGTGATGTCTGCGTAATCGCTCAACACGCTCTGCATGTTTGGGATAGCCAAGAAGAATCGCATCCTAATTAACACCGAAAGCAAACGCGAGCATGTTACTATTCGACGACTTCTCATGAATGTAGGTCTTACCATTCTCACATGGAATCTCAACCTCTCTCTAACCACACACCTCCTCGCCTCAAGAACCGAAAGAGGAGTTGCTCCAATTGCGCTCAGGAGCTTGCCTCATTACCGACCATCACCCACTGCAAATTTGCGACGCTACGTATAACTGAAAGGAGGAGATTGAGTCATATTTTACAAAGCTTTGGATTTCGCTTGTAGGGGACTGTTGCTCTAACTGGACGAACAACTTGAGAGAGGTCAGGCGGCTGAGATGTAGAGCGAATGAGGGAAGATACCACCATTTGGCACGATGTGACTTGCATTTTTCGTAGGGTTCTCAACTTTGACATTATTGTGGACGCCAAGACCAAGATCTCGCTTGATTAGTTGGGAGGAGTTTTATTGTCGATGAGTCAACGGCATTCCCCAATACCCTAGACGGCATAATAGAAGTTGGCCTTAACTACCAAATAGCAATCGCACTCTGTCAAGATTTCTCTGACCTATCAGCACGCGCGTCGGGAAAGGGCTGGAAGGAGGCTAGAAAGGTAGAGATTAAATTTCCATGATACCCATAAGTCTGCAGCGCCCAGCTGGCCTGCCTCTTTGCACGCTTCATAAGGGTCAATATGTCGTCGGATTTATTCCTGATGCCGGTATCAGAAGAGCCCCGCAGCCAGTGGTTTTTGGTAATTTTCCCAGCCGCAATAAACCCGCAAATGGCCCTCGATTCGTTGACTCGAGAAGGGAGCTGTCAAGGACTTCACGGAGAGGATATATGTTAGAAATGAAGCATAATCTTATCAGAAATGATTACCTTCGTTACCAAATGGTTCTCATCGCAATCTCTACAGTCAATTTTCATAATCAGCTTCGGTTTCCTCGGTAATATGTATATTATTTTGTTTTAGCGAAAAACATCATCAATTGGTCAAACGTGACACGACGTTCCATAAACGTTATTTAATCATTTTGATAATTTCTACCTTCTTAATCAGCCCTTCTTTTCTGGTTCCCCGATTTATTCACGTTTCGCTTCGGCATGGCGGGTTGGAGAGCCATAAAGGTGGATTTCGCTGCAAAACAATTTTCACGGCGCCACAACCACAACCAATGGACAGCGGAACTGCCGCAATTACGGCAGTAGAGTCTCTCACGACCTCTACAGGCGTCAACACGGATACCCTCAAGACAGTAAGGCTTTATTCAAACAAGGTCAGAGACAGACTAGTGATAGCAGGCACTGACAAATCTGCGACACCGATGGTCGAGATGGATGAGGCGCTTGACGCCTTCTGTTATGGCCGGGCATCCTTGAAAATGTTTCAACGAGAAGGTTCTCAGGGAAAGGTGATAGGAGAAGGTTTTAAGATAGTTTTCCAGGAAAACTCCGACAGTTATAGATAGGGTGGCTGGCCTCATGACGGCATTTGTCATAGTCTTAGTTGAGTTCAAGTACTGTCTCGA